GCCTATAGACATGAGCAGTACCATGGACATAACAGAGTATACTATTTCGCCCATGATACTCCATACGTCGCCATTCCTGAGGGACTCAGGATTATTACGTTATTACGTTAAATTAAAGTATAGCAGCTCTGGAATTTACAGAGAGTATTAAAAGCTTTCGATGTTATCACTGACGCTGATAATGTTTACTGTACCATATGGCTTTGAGTGTGAACTAAATAGATATAAAATGTTTTTTACTGTATGATCTACCGATTTCTGTGTTGCTGTGTAGTGTGTTAGTTCGCTGTTGTAAGGTTCTCTGTGAAGGCTCTGCTTTGATTTTTTCTGTTTTGTTAATCAATAAAATTATCTGTCTCTTTTTCATACTATAACATGAAATTTTAAAGATTTTTAGTAAACATAAATATTGCACAATTAGCTTGTTTATTTTTAAATTACTGCTTATTACAGTTCTTATGTTTCAGCATTTGCCATTTACGCAGTGTCAATCAAAGGTTCACGGTCGTTGCGTATCTAAAGCCCTTTTACCCTCGCTATCCCTCCAAGTAAAAATATCTCACCTTTTACATTATAAATATACGAGATCTCCGGCGATCAATATTTTCCTTCGCTTCACGTCAGAATAATTCATGATCCTTTTTATCAAGACTGCCAAGCTTGGAGCGGGATATTATTACAAAATTGTTATTGCCATGTCGTTAAACGGGAGAGAAACTAAATGATTTGTAGCCCGTGATGTTTGTGCGTTCCAGTTAATAAAATTAAAGGCGCCCTCAACACCATTGCAATGACATCATTGAAGTCTTACTGTATCGTTTTGAAGTTATTCTAGTCATATGACCTGCCGTTATAATTTACCTACATACACTTATAAATGTCTCCGGAATGTGTTTTATCGATTTGTAATCTATAAGTAGGTAAGGTAAATACCCCATAGGAGTAAATAAACATACAAGTAGCAAATCGTCTTATAATTTTTGCTTCTTTAGAAGGAAAAGTGAGCGATATGTTTTATTTTAAATGCATTTAAGATTGGCATGATTTAGCTGTAATTTTGGTTTAGTAATAATTCATTTAAATAGGTAATTACCTACCTAAACCTTTTGGGGAAAAGTTGAAGTTTCTTTGAATCGTAACATTCTTCTTCTCTATGAATATCATTATTTATATTTGTGGCAAAATATGTGTGTAGTCCACTTGCCAAGCGTGACAAAATTCCGCAATAAAGGGAGGCCTTTATTCAACGGTGAACATTTAACAGCTGATTATGATGATGATGTATATAATTAATTGTTGTTGTTGAATCAGCCATTAACTGTCTACTGCTGAACATAGCCTCCCCCATAAAGGGAGTTTTACCAGTAACTGTCACGCTTGACAGGCGAGTTGGCAACTGCAATTTGGCTTTTGGTGATGTTTTAAAAGGGACGCTGCTGCCCGTCCCTCCACCATAAGCTCCCTTAGTCGCCTCTTACAACACCCACGGGAAAGGAAGGGGTGGCCTATTCTTAGCCGGAGCCTACACGGCTAATTATTATACTTTATAATATTTTTAATATAATAAGCGATACTATATTTTACTCTTAGCTCTAAAACATTATTTCATTAGCATACTAAATGATATGTAGGCGGTGTATCTAGAGTCTAGACTTAAGGTTATTCAGCCTTATTTAACGTGACTCATACATCTCGCAACTCACATTGTTTTACTATTTGCCATATCCTCCAGAAATGTAGTTAATATAATGACTTTGCATTAAGTTCTGACATTCATTTACGAAGTAGTACTGATCTTAATCGTAATAATTGAAATCTAAATTGAATATGTTTAAGAGAAAATATTGTTTGTTTGTTATGCACGAACTCAAAAAAAAAAAAAACTTCACAGATACAACAAGTAATATGGTTAGTATTTTATTAAAAAACAATTGTACGAAGCCAAGGTAGTTACTAGTTATAAATATTCTCTATATTATTATAGGATATATGTTATATTATTCCAACGATTAACATGCTAATATGTATATGTAAAATCTAATCTTTTAAATTTTATTAGTGTGTTTATAATGCCTACTGTTGTTTTAATTATGTGCTTCTGAGAAAATTGTAAAAATATATAAATTAACGAATAAAATATCTCTCGTCTTGAATACAAGTATTTTTTCTTTGTTTAAAGATAATTTTGTAGAAAATATTTTACCATTACTAAAAGGTTTCAGAAAGTCGTAAGCTTTGAAAGTTCAGTTATCTATTATGTATTTTCTAATTATCCTGGTGTTTCTCATTGTTTTTTCTAGAAATTCGTAACTTAAAACAGTTCTCTCACTTCGTGTCAAAACATACTAAAAGTTTCATCAAGTCTCAAGCTGTAAGTCTCGTTTTCATTGTTCAAAGGCGGCCCTCTGTCGTCATTAATACTTAGGACACCTCCCTTTTGTCATCACTAACGCGCATCTTTCCTTCCAACGAAAGAAGAAAGGCTTTATTTCTTGTCTGTGCTTTTGTTGCTAGTATACACTAGTTTGTTTTTCATGTATTTTACTTGATGAGATTTTTAGTTACACTATAGACCTTGTTAATGTTTGCTGAATTGCTTTTCTGGATTGTTTCAAGCAATGTATCGTTTGTCAATGTCATAGGTATAAGCTTTTGTTGTTATATTATCTTTACATTAAACTGTGAGGAATGTTTTCAGCAAGGTATTTATAGTATTGGGATGTTTAAATTTTTTGTACGCAAATTAAAATTTTAATTAATATTTTTTCAGTAGGCGGCTCTGAAATGTTATTTAAACTTTACAGTATATAGAACCAAATGAAACAATTTTTGTCCATTCACGTTCCAATGACTGTTGACACAAATATCTCTATGAGTAATCAAATAATTAAATACATACGGCAGAGTACAAAATGGGATATCTAACAATTTTGTTAAATAGACGACGACCTTTTACTGGTTAAAATTTTCTTCAACAACAAGACGATAGATAGAAAATAGGTTGTGTACACTTGATAGTCTTCATATCGGGCACTAAAATACAATTACTACGTAATTTAATTGATTTATATTGTCATCATTATCAGGAGATTCAATTGAACCCTTCCATTGTACTGGCCTTGGTCGTTTATATATGTCATTACTTATATTCAATCCATTTTTTTTAAGGAAAGAATTGTGGTCATGTCAGAAGCGTTGTTTTAGCTTTCATTGATAATATTTCATAGTCAAGTAGGCCGTGATATTGGTCTAGGTCGCCTTGATTCATTCTTCTTTATTTTCCTTCAACACGTATTAACTGTGAATCACTATACAAATAAAAATGTGTAGTTGTTCCACTCGTTCATATCTTACTATCTTATCAATAATGTAAACATTGCTTTTTATATATTGTTAGTCATTTACATTTTGTTGCTGCTATAATAATTATTATTATGTTATTATAATTCTTAATTTAATGTACTCTAGTGTAGGTAAAATAAGTTACAACAAAATCTGTAGATTATTTATTTACTCGTATATTTCGATGAGGATTCATATATTTGAAAATTGTAATCATTAGCATCCGTTAGAGGAAGTTTTCTATTTCTTACAAATATCTTTTCTATTAATGAAACTATTTCTTAAACGATCGCTAGTTGTGGTTTTTTTTTTTATTAACGGATGAAAATATAATGGAAATACCTGGCGCTGCACTAAACCAAACGCTGACGGAACACCAGTGAGGGATGATAAGTGAGAACGAAAAGGTAAGTCGGCTAGTCCATTGTGATGAATACACCTGGAATTCAGCACGCTGGTTTCCAGGGGAGACCACGTAGAGGTAGAGTTGACAGGGTATATTACTAGCAATAGACTCCAAAGTTCAGCGTTTCCCATACCAATATTGCTCACCCAACATTCATTATTAAAAGGTTCATATTTTTCAAATCATGTTTCATTAGGTATATATATTTAGTGGTAAAATAAATCTGAAGAAACCACCTATACCTTTTATAAGTATAAAAGTATTGACTACTTAAAATATCCGAGTTGTGGCTGCGTACGGTAAGATGATCTTACCACATTGAATCCACTGCGGAGGCAACGAACCTATCAACTGGTTTACATACATACTTATCGGACTTTTATGATATTTTATATATTTCGCCTATTATTATAATTGTTTTTATCCGGCCTTAGGTGTAATTGATTTCATTTAGGATTATCTTCAAATTTATAATTATAACTTTATTTATGACTAATATCCATTTTAACAACGGACGTTTGCAGGTCTGTTTTTAATTTATTTTTTTTTCAATTTCGAAGCTTGAAAATTTGTTTATGTATGTTGAATTTTATTATTGATTTATGTATACGTAATGTGTTGTAATTATTGAAATATTTATTATAATTCGTTTATATACTTTCAGTTTCTGCAATAATTTTACTAAAATTAAAAATGACTTACTTTTATGGTATTTGTAAATTAAATGTTTATTATTTAACCTCTTAAACTAAGTTATGACTGCCATTTTTATGGTCGTCTTCATCATTATTTAAACCATAAAGTCACACTTGGAAAAATATTGTTTCCTATCCCTCTAATAAATCGATACTGCGATAAGTGGTAACTAATAAAGAGTAACGTTCGATAATGGTTGTTTTGTATTTATATCGTAATCAAATATTGTTATAAAAAATGATAATCCAAGTTTTTTTAAATCGTTACTAATTATAATTTTTTTATTGTAAAAGTTTATAATTCATAATCAGACAAATTCATTTTCGTACTTGTAATAAATAATCAGTAATGGTCGCGGGATGGGCAGCAGCGTTCCACTTAAGACATCACCAAAGCCTAACTGCGGTTGCCAATTCGCTTGCTAAGCGTGGCAACTACTGGCAAAACCCTTCTTATGGGGGAAGTCTATGTTCAGCAGTGGATGGCTTTCCGCTGATATGTTGATGATGAATATTCAGTAAATATTTAGTGTTAATATCCGTTTCTTTTGTTTCAGATTTATCAAAGAATCGATTCAGTGAGGTGCCCGATGAAGTGACTACGTACGTGTATTTAGAGAAGTTACTACTATCACAAAATATAATCAAGAGTGTACCTGACTCGGTTGGGGGTCTACAGTCCCTCACATATTTAGATCTCAGGTAAATTATTTACATAATACATTATTATGGTCTATATTATAATTTTTCTGGACGACTATATAGTTGTAAACTGTGTTTAAAGTACATATTATGAACGTAATTGTAAGTATATTATTAAATGAAATATGTTAAAGTAATCAAATATTATAATTTTTTTAGAGATAAATTAGAATTCTTAGGCAGATAAATAACTTTGTATATAATTTTGAATAATTTCATCTATATATTTTTGGTGCCTTTTAGAGTCAAACGATTTCATAATAAATACGCTAAACCTGTTAAAATAATACAGCGCCATTTAAACCTATATTATTTGAAGTCGTACTTACTTTTTTTTTATAATTATGTACATATTATACATAGGAAACAACTCAAGCAATACAAATAATGTTATAATTAAAATTGTATCGTTTGGGTTGTTTTAATTGTGCGAGGATTAAACTCGCAACCGTTGGAAAACGAGTCTCTATATTTAAATGTTATACTATAAAGATCGTCGAAGTTAAACTAGGTGTATAAGAATAAAATCTATTGGTTTTGAAATGAATTTAGACAGCTACATCTTTAAAAAAAATTTAATGTATACTTAATAGTATTAATCCTATAAATTACTAATATGTTTATACATATTTATTTATCGTAATATACCTTAACATTGTATTGATATACATAAAAATTGGTAAGTTAAAGCTATGGAATATTGACTTGGAATGTTACATCACTAAATTCAAATTATCTCAATATTTTAATTTCCTTATTATTGGTTATAAGTAAAATTAAAATATATGTTCTCAGTTACAAATGTGTAGTGGAGTCATGAATGAACGTAACACTCAACATGCCCATATTTCACCAAGGATATTGAAATTTTAACAACGTATTAGAGGCGTACATACTGCTATCACTCGGATTAATTTAGTAATTTTATCGATGTTTTCCTTCATCGGAGAATTATTCGGAAATTGTAAATTGACCAACATATCTTGTCATTTCAGTGTTTAGTATTGGCCAGACTCAAAATTACGACTTTTGAGCTCTCTACTGTATTCGAAGTAGCACACTATTGAGTCCCGAAAATCTCCCGGGAAATAATTTAAATAAATTTATGGTTTCTTGTCGCAGTGTAGTTTGCATTTTGCAACACTTGCATTAGTTCCATTTTAGCGTTAAGACGGAGTTCCTCTGGTATTGTCTTCAGATGAGGCAACAGTGATAAAAGGAACATCCTATCTGGATCATCAAGTTCGTTCTTTGAGGGAGCGTCGACGCTCGCAAACGCGAATTCATCAGTCTTGTTCATTTTAGGTATTTTTGACGGTATTATAACATCGACGCCGTCATTAGAATAATCTTGAGATTCTTCTTGATTCTCAGTATTATCATTGTCGTCGTCTGAGCTTTGTTCTTCTTCTTTTCCTATTTTCAACTTCTTTTTGCATCTCCAAGATGTCGCTGCCCTGTTGGGTTTCAGAACCTCATCGGATTCGCTTGAAGCCTCACCTTCATTATTTTGGGGTTGCGTTTGGTTTTTCAATAAAAATTGTAGCTGCTTATAATAAATATAAGGTTTCCTCGTCCTGTTGGGATTTGCCAGGTACTTTTGAAAGCAATCTCGGATGCTTTTCCATTTCTTTTGCAGTTGGAGTTCTGTAATAAAAACGGAAAGTTGTGAAATAGTTAAGAAATAGATTGGATACTAAAGTTAATAAGTTTACCAATCACCATTTAATGCCGGTGACAACGATAACTTTTTGTAGGCCTATACTACTTCCGACTTACAGACCGTAACGATCGTGAGGTCGAATCGGGCCGTCGTCAAGATATTTGTGTATTAATAATTATATGTTACCTATTAACTCTTCGGTGATGAAAAACAACCTGTTACGTTTTATTAGCGCAATTGGACATATCATGTGTTAAGTTCACCACAACGGGAATAATCAACAAAAGACCAATATATTAGGAATTACTTATAGACCTAGATAAACTATTGTTATCTACGAATAATAATAGAATTTGTAATTTAGTAATATTATGAGTATTCCCAGACTATTTACCGTCCCACTGGTGGACACAGTGGGCACAGTCTCTCTCCATAGGGAACGAACCACTTTTAAGACGCCAGCTAAATTGCTTGGTACCTACAGAGTTGTTAATAAAAATAAATAAATAGTAATATCATATTTTTGTATTTACCAAGTTCTCGCATCTCGCTCTTGGTAAGTTTTACATCATTCTGCATAAGTTCAGTAACCACTTCATTCCATAGTTTGTATCTTCCGTTCTTTGCCCGATATTCCAAATCTTCAAAATCCCATATGCCGGGTCGCTTCTTCACCTCTTCTATGAGACGTTCAGGGTCGTATTCAAACTGCATTTTGTTAAAGTCGGTAAGTGTATGAAGTACAAACGTTTGTACAAACGGGCGGCCAGACGCCGGGCGACTGACGCGCCGCGGGGGAACGCCGCGGTTTTGCTTCAAAATGGCCGCTGTGTTGTAGGGTGAACATCTCGACTGAGACAGACGCGTACCTGACAGTTGTAATTAATAGTTTATTCTTTTTTAAATGTATACAAACTCTTGAATGACTAGACTCAATAATATTTTATTTACACTTAAATAGAAATGTATTAGTCTAAAAAAGTATTAATAACTTTTCCATATCTTTACTGTAATCCTTTCTGTGCAAATAGGCGACTCCTATAAAAAATAAAGTTACCCATTTATTCTTTAGTAAAGTTGAAAGTAGAAATACATGCTATTTATAAAAAAAATTAAAACATTGTAGTTGTGATTCGTTAATAAGTAACACGGATATGACGTTGACTGGATTTAATTTAAATGCATATTTACAATATTCAATGTTTTAATTTATTTATTAAGTTACTTTAAAAAACATTACAATAATAATAGTACACCTGGACATAAAACAGCAAAATTTTGTCCCAAAAGAAGAATCTCTTGTATAATTTTTAAAATAAATATGAAAGTTTCAACTTTGTACTTTACCTTTGGTTTTAGTTGGATATATGATTACTTGAATTAGGTTACTCATATTCTACCAAATGTTCGGCATATGCCAACAAGGTTTTTTTTTTCTATTCAACATCAATACGTTAAGTAATTTTAATATAATGAAAAATACCACTTTCCATCAGGTGGACCGTCAGCTTGATGGCCATTCTAAGTTATATATAAAAAAAAATTATAACATAATCATCTAAGAATAAATATTGTTTCTGCCTACCCTAACTGGAGACAGGCGTGACAGATATTTATGTGTTTATGTATGTAATTAACTTAGATAAAAGATTAATACACTTTGTCTCATCAAATTGTATGCACACTAGTGCTGAGCTATCGAGCGAGCGGCGCGCGACGCGCGGCCGGTCTGCAGCCCCCGCCGAGGGGAAACGCGCGGTGAATGCTAGGCAAGCACTAACCGCAGCATACTGATATCATGTTTTGTCAAGGATTTAAATTTTATTACCTTTATAATCATTTACTTATTATTTTTCATCAGCATTATCTGGTGTTCCCCGATTCTAATTGGATTAATTTATTTTTAAAAAATCGTATAGAAATTTAATGAAATAAATCTATGTGTAGTGGCTACATCTTACTAACGTCTGGAGGAAATTTTATAATGCAATTAATCCTATTTTGCGGTAGCATCCTACATAATCAAAATCACTAGACTACTTATTTAGTCTGCAGGTACTTATTTGCGTAGATGAATACTTCTTATTTTATTTCAATGCACGCCGTATTTTTACCTAGTTGTATACTTGTCTGTATGTATAAATATAGAAACTACTGGTAAAAGGGGGAGGTTAGCAGATATAAAGTAAAAGGATACAGCTATTATTTTATATGTACTAATTTAAACATTTAAAAAATTGCTATTTTAATTTGCCTGATAACTTATCTATTTACAAAATTACCTCTTATTTTATACCATCTTATTGTTTTAATTAAAAAACAAAATAGCCTTTGAAAACATAACATCATTTGTAAGTTACAATTAATAATAATCAAATACGTGTGTAATACCTGGTGCTAATTGACCATGTATACTTCGGTACAAACAAATTATCATAGTAACACTTGTGTACCAATCATTTAGATTTGCATAAGTAAATAGCGTTTGTCTAAAACACTGTTTTCACTGTTGAGAGTTTTAATATCAATCAGTATGAATTACTATGTCTTATTAATAAAATATCTTATTTTAGGTTTAAAGAGCTCTTTATCTAAAATGTTCAATAACACTATTAAACGTTTATAATAGACTTTATTCATAAATACTCAATAAGCATTCAATAACTGAAATAAGTTTTTCGGAAGATATACACTATTATTTTGTACTTGTCGAGTTCTACAAACCGTAAACATTCAACTGTATTCACCTATCAAAAATATTATGTGATTTTAATAATCTTGAAAAATATAAAGATTACTATTTTAATTTAAAAACGAATACGTACATACAATGGACCAAGTTAAGCAAATACAATGTTGCTTGAACACGTCTTTAGAATGGTTGTGTATATCATATTATAGTAATGTAATTATTTATAATTAATTGTAGATTTTCAGTTGATTCATATTTTAGATAATACAATTCTCATTTATATACGTAATATAATATATTTTAATTTAATGTTACAAATTTTTAAATTAAAGTGTTGTTATAGGCAAAGCAAGGTAGGCTTTTTTTTAATGGATGACAATGGAATGGTAACCCCACCCGCGCTATCGGTATACACCGGCGGGGCACCAGTGAAGGATGATAGGTGAGGATGAAATAGGTCAGTTAGCCCATCGTGACGAATTCAACAAGAATTGTTCACGATGGTTTCCAGGGGGAACCACGTGGAGGCAAGGTAGGCATTAGTCCATTATAACTTTATAGGACCGCTATTAGACGTTTTCGCTTTATTGACTTGCTATAGTCTGTTTATGATTAACACTTTTTGATATTACAGTTTTATATTAGGTTTATAGATGTTTTATATCTGACGCCGCTAGTAAATAGATATTGCTGAGTTGTAGTACATTTATGAATAAAGATTTTTATAATCACATTATTTCCATGTTTAGACGGTTTATAAAAGAATAAGACGGTATTAGTATAATTATAATTTTAAACAATTATTCAATAACATAATAGTAGTTTGACAAAATTGAATTTAACGGCAATAGTGTCGTTTTAAAAACAATATTATCCATACTAGATTTTCGTAGACTAGTTGTAGGTAACCGTCACGTTTCTTATCACAATGATGATATAAATAAACCAGTTACGAAATATCTAAAGGAACTACAGTCACAAAATCAATATTTACTCATGTGCTACGATGCAACAACTGATACTTTCCCTTTCTCCTCCTTGTGTACATAATCGTGTCAAACAGAATACGTCTGGCAGACATCGATTGGAATTTCTTGGAAATACGTCTTAATAGAATTGTATTCATACTTTTTGTTATGTTATTAAATTCTACTGTTTCTACTTTGCGGTCTGTGCCCCAGCATAAATTAGGCTACCCCTTACTTTCCCGTGGGTGTCGTAAAAGGCGACTAAGGGAGGGCTAGGTAGGGATGGGCATCAGCGTCTCTCTTAAAACATCCTAAAAGGCCTAATTGTGGTTGCCAACCCGCCTGCTAAACATAGCAACTATTAGCAAAACTCATCTTATGGGGACTCCCCATAATAAAAAAAATCTACTACGTACGACATTCTGACTTATTCAGTAAGTATCCGAACTATCTACAGCGTGGTTCAATATTGTATCTTGCAGCGTAATAATCATTCTTTGTCGTCGTCGTTCCAACCGCGCACTCTGTTTACTTCTGAAGATCGCTGAACATAAACCTAAGCCTTGCTAATATTATATATCTGAGAGTGAATTTATTAGTTTATTTCTTATCTCTTAGCGGTTTAACAGCTCAATCAATCAGTAAATTTGGGATCGATTTATTTATCCCGATCGCGTGGACAAAGTCGCAAGCACAATTAATCTCGTAATAAATACGAGGTTTGTCCGGAAAGTACGTATAAAAGTTTTTTAAAAATTTTATTTTACAATTATTCAGGTAAATCAATTTTATCCCCTTCAAAGTACTCCCCCTGTGACATAATGCACTTGTGCCAACGCCGTTTCCACTGTGAGAAGGCTCCTTGAAAGTCCTCTGGTTGTAGGTTTCTCAGCTGCCCCGTCGTAGCTTTTTTTATCTCATTTATGTCCCCCAAATGCCGCCCCCGAAGTACCAATTTGGTTTTTGGGAACAAGAAGAAGTCACACGGGGCCAAATCCGGCGAATAGGGGGTGTTCGGTCACCGTAATGGAATTTTTACTCAAAAACTCACGGACAACAAGAGAGGTGTGGGCAGGGGCATTGTCGTGGTGAAGAATCCAACGCCCCTCTCGCGCCAATTCTGGACGAACTCGTGCCACACGAGCTTTGAGGCGTCTGAGCACATCGACGTAGAATTTTCCATCAACTGTCTGGCCTGTGTTCGTCGGAATGTGAAGTGGAAGGACGTCCTGAACGTGGGTCATCTTGAACGCTTTCTCGGCCCTCTCTGAATCTTTTTAGCCACTTGTGGACGGTTGGTTCCTTCACAGCATCATCCCCATAAACTGTTCTGAGATCGGCAAAAATTTCACGGCCATTCTTGCCGAGTTTCGAGAGAAACTTGATTACGACGCGCTGCTCTTCAACGGAAGCGGGCTCCATGCCGACGGGGTTTCGTTAAGAGGTAACTTCACAGATGGCGTGACAAGCCAGTTCGCACCGCACGGTGGTCAGACCAGAACTGAAGCATTGTTAGGGACATAAGGAAGGGGTCCTGCGCTTACCTGGCCTCCCCACTCCTCTTTCTCGCATTCCAGAACACTTTTATACGAACTTTCCGGACAGACCTCGTAGAAGTGTGAAAATCAATCGACTATGGTTTAAGGTGGTAAATTTCTCTCGCTACTAAAATTTGTACTAATTTCTATCGCAGAATTACCCTTTTATAACGATGCCAAATTTCAAGTTGCTAGTTATAATAGTACGGCCTTGACAAAATTACACAAAATTAAATCTGAGTACGTAAATACCTTTTTGACGTCGAAAGTTAAAAATATGTCGTGTGTCGTTGTGTTTACTTTAATGCAATTAGTTTGTATTTCTGTAATGTAGTTAGTGAAATTACTTGGATTTTAGTATTTATGTAAAAAACAAAATTAAATAAACTAAAACATTGTTATTTTTTTAAAACTTAACTGCTTGGTAATTCTAGCAGTTAAGTTCATACTATTAAAAGCAAATTCATACTAATGTAGGAAATGTTTGTGAATCCTTTATGGTTTAATTACAAATAGCTATTATTGTAGCCGGAATTCTAATTACGTTTCTATTCCTAATATATAATAAAGCAAACACTTCAAATTTTAATGGTGAATCTCATCTACTATCAACAATATTTGTAAAATCACTGAAGAGCTACTGCAACTTCATTAAATTATTA